TAAGCCCTCTTAAGTGTCTTTCGTCCCCCGGGGGGGGGGGGGGGGGGGGGGGGGGGAACCACCTCTGCAACGACTGTGCAACCTCAAAAGCTAATTTACTTTGCTGTTTTTTTTCATGGTAGTTCTTCTAAGATGACAGAGTCTTTGTGTTTTCCATGTCTCCTCTCATCTTTTCTTTTTCTCTCTGTAGAGACTTGACTTTCTCTAACTTTTACTCTCCCTGAAATGATCAAAGCCCCAGTTTTGTCTCAGGCTCTCTTGAGAATTAGCTTTTTTTATTTAGCGTATACTGTATACCTATGCCATAAATTTCAGCAGACTAAGACATTTTCCATGATGTATGTGAGCTCTTTCTGAAGTCATACTGTAAATGAACTGTGCATCCATAGAGTGCAATCAATATGAGCCCCTCTCTCTCTTCCTTTGTTCAGCTCTACAAAGAAATCGAAATTTGTGCCAAGACAACCAAAGTCATCCAGTTTGACAGAGATGAGTCTTGTGCCATAGGCTATGGTAACAATGCTGTTCAGTTTATATCTGATTTATTCCTCTTCTTTGTTTCTTTTTTAGTTATTTATGTCTCTTTCTCTCTTCTCCAGGTTTTTCAGTGGTGGTAGTAGAGGAGGATGGAGGTCAGCAGCTTCATATCACTGATGTGAAAGCTGGAGGTCTGGCATTTGCCAAAGGTGTGTGACGGAACTCAGCAGATAGCAGTTCTTCATTACAGTTCAGTTATATACAGTGTTGGGGAAGATACTTTGAAACTAGCTTGTCATAATATAAAGCCACACAATTTCAAGTCAAGTTACTTTAGAAACAATCCTATATACACGCGCACACACAAATATACACATACACAGTAGTGCACAAAACAGCAAAATCTCCACAACACAACAGAAATAAGCTGCAACACAATGAAAACAAACTCGCAACACAAAAAGAAGTCGCAATAGAATGAAATTAGCACAACACTATGGAAACAAGCCATAACACAATAAAATTAGCACTACACAACAGAAACAAGTCGTAACACAACGGAAACATGTCACAACACAATGAAATTAGCACAACACAATCAAAACAAGCTGCAACACAACAGAAAAAAGCTCCAACACAAGTCGCAACACAACTAAATTAGCACAACACAACAGAAACAAGCCACAACAATCAAAACAAGCTGCAACACAACAGAAAAAAGCTCCAACACAAGTCGCAACACAACGAAATTAGCACAACACAACGTAATTAGCACAACACAGCAAAATTAGCACAACACAACGGAAACAAGCCGTAACTCAACAAAATGAACACTACACAAAAGAAACAAGCCACACCACAATGGAAGCAAGTCGCAACATGCAATGACCAAAACATGTCAAATCACAGTTTCACATGGGTCTGTGAAAACACTGTATACATGGTTGTCAAGTTTTCACCGACTTTTTTGTAGTTTTGTCATTTTTGTAGTTTACACAGAGACGATTACAGTAAAAAGTTTGCATTTTCAGGCCCCCAAAACGCTGTTGTCATGTAAATGAATGGCCAAAACGCATAAAAACATTTCGGTTTTTAGTTGAAAACAATGTTGTGTAAATGCCTCACAAAAAAGTTCCTAGATTACTTTACTGCCTCTATTTGGCAGCTCTTCCATGTCCAAATCAAAACCTTATGCCTCACCTGTAGTAGTCTATATAAACCGCTGAGAAATTAGCAGGGTAATATGCAGGAGTCTGAACTGCGAGGACTGACCCAAATCTCCACCGGACTGGAGGAAAATCATTTTTAAGAACCCACACATGAGCACAGGCTTACCAAGAGGGGCAAATTAAAACCATTACGCGCTGCCAGTGATATCTGTGCCAAGCGAGTGCATTCATTAAGAGCAGTCTTCAGAACGGTTTCAGATACTCTCTGTTCCAGTAAGTCCAGTTATTGAGTGTCAGAGTATTTTAATTAGCGGCGCTCACTAAAATAAGCATCGCTATTATTATTATTGCTCATACTAAGGGTCAGGGATTTGTGCTAAACCCCAAAGTATTAAACTTGAATGTGACTGAAAGTAAAGTACACAATCTCCTTGCTGCAAAAACCCATTTAAATCAGACTAATACAGGTCTTAGCTGGTTTAAGATAGTCTTCCAGCCTGACCAAACTGACTAGGGCTGCGTTTCCCAAAAGCATCGTAACCCTAAGTTAATCGTAGCTCCCTTGGTGGCAATGGGACTACGATGTACTTAGCTTACGATGCTTTTGGGAAACGCAGCCCAGGTTGGTTTAAGACATTTTTAGCAGGGTTTTGTTTCAATTTTGTTAGTAATTCTACCCAGAAGGCCTTGCAAAAGTGGAAGTGTACAAGAAAAGGCTTGTCTGGATGAATAGAAAGGCAGATGGATACAAACCCAAGTGGACAGTCCTGGAAGCAATTTTTTTTTGGCCGGAGGAGAATGTGCCCCAACAAAGCATTGGCTCATTAAGACCATGTGCTGTCCAAACTAAATGAAGAGAGTGTGTGTGAAATACACACGGTCAAAATTTGCTGGAGGTAATACTGAAACTCAGGACAGTTTGGACACACAGCACTGGGGGCGCTTGTTGATGACATCACCCCAACATTCATCAACCCTCTATTGCCAGGGGCAGAGCAGAGCCATCCAATAAAAAAAGCTTTATTACATTTCGCTTCATGTAAAACTGGGTCACACTTCAGGCAGTGTGTGCATGCATGCATGTGTGTAAACCCATACAGCAATGGTTCTCAAACCTCTCCATGAAGTACCCCCAGCACTGCGCATTTTGTATGTCTCCCTATATCTGATGCACCCACTTCTGGTCTTGCAGTCTCCACTAATGAGCTGATGAGTTGAATCAGGTGTGATAGATGAGGGAGACATACAAAATGTGCAGGGCTGGGGGTACTCCATGTTTGAGAACCACTGCCATACAGCATTCATAAAAGCTCAGGAACAGAGGTAAAAATTCATTTCTTGCAGGAACATGGGCATCAATAATCAATTAAACTGGCGGTCCTGCCTAATGAGTGTTAACTGAGCTATTGAAGTTTAATTGAGCTGCTGATGTGTTGGTAATTGATAATTTAGAGAGAGGGAGTCAGGTGGTTGGGGGAGGAGCAGATGAGCTTCTTTGTTCTCATCCTTTATGTACAACAAATCTTCTTTAAAACATTTGAATAGTAAGGAAATAATCATTGCTTAGTGTGGTTGTATAAATAATTAACTTTATGCATTAATAATTAACCTCTGACAGCATAACGTGTTGTACTTCGGCAAGAAAACAAGTATTACTATTCTTTTCCTAAAATCACAACAAAAAATCAGGGAGACGCAGCAACCAACCACTGTTTAACAAAACAAATTTATTTAGCTATAAAGAAAAAAAAAACATGTAATCAGTGTAGGTGATAGTCAGTATATTGACAAGTGCTTGTAAGTAGTACAAATAACAACAGTCCAAACAAACACCAATAGCAAAACTCAACACCCAAATGTCCGATCTAGGTAGAGATTAATCAAAACGGGAACTCCTCCGGTGCGGCGGCGACCTCCCGTAACCTCCATATCCCATGAGCGCTCCGGTAGACTCTTGCACAGACGCCTACAACAAGCAATAGTTCCCCATCCATTGTTCCATAGAGTCCATTTTTAAAGCGTGATGATTTAGCCCAGGTGCAAATCCACGTCAGTCAATCACCTGAAACTCAAGAACAAATCACAGAGTGACTTGGAGATGTCACACAAGGTTTTTAAATGTTTTAAGAGAAACTTTTGTCTGTTGACTGTGTGTGTGTGTGTGTGTGTGTGTGTGAGTGAGAGTGATGTAATTACATTTTGGAGTTACAAACTTGACTCGATTTCAGGTCTGCGAGCAGGTGATGAGATTCTAAACCTGAACAGTAAGCCGGCGAGTGTGTTGGAGCTGGCTGACATGCAGGCTGCGTTTTCTTTGCCCTCTCTCACCCTGACTGTCAGCACGCTGCCTGCTACCGATCCGCACCAGCTGTGCCAGATGCCTCCCCGCCGATCGGACGGGGCGCAGGACCTCTGCACTGACATCTTCTCCCAAAGTCAGGGTAAACTTCATCACTGCATTCTCTTTTTTTCCATATATTTGTGTATTGTATTGTCATTATCAGTTTTATTTGGCATTGCTACTAGAAGAGAGATTGCTCCACCTTTTAAATAGTTTTGTTTCCACGTTTGAGATTCAGAAATCATAAAAATCAGTACTAGAAGTTGACTATACACCAACATACAGTACTACTAGAAATACACTCTAGTTCAAGAGGGTTGATAAGATGATTTTAATGTTTTTGAAAAGTCTTATGCTCATCAAGATTGGATTGATAATTAAAAATGCAATAAAAACAGAATTTTGGAATATTATTGCAATTTTAAAGTTTTAGATGTTGCTCAACATCTCTTATCTTGAAAACCATTGTGCTGCTTAATATTTTTTGTAGAAAGTGTGATACATTTTTTTTTCAGGAATCTTTGATCGATAGAAGGTTTGAAAGAAGATAATTTATTTAAAACCGAAATCATTTGTAATATTACAAATGTTTTTACTGTCAGTTTTGATCAAATAAATGCATCCTTGCTGAATAAAATTATTTTTATTGTTAAAAAATATACACATTTATATTTATTATAATTATTTTTAGATTATTAAAAAAAGTTCAGGAGTGTCAGGAGACTATGTAATATCAGTACTTACCCTGTGACAGCTTGTGTCTTGTACAGTACAGTCCTGTAGCTCATCCTGTCCCTGTCTGTCTCCATTGCTCCCTCTAGAGGACATCCTGGATGAAGGTCTTGGCCTGGTGCTGCACAGCCCTGATGACACAGGCGACGTCAGGGTAAACCTAATGGCTGAGAGCCCTGCTGACAGCCTGGAGGATGAAACGGACTCAGCACACAAGGTTAGAGACCACCTGCTATGAAGATTCATCAAAAAAAAAAACTCTGCTAGAACAGTTTGTCTGGCTGAGTTGTAGTAGAATGAGCTTCTGGTTTTGATTCACAGAGCTTGGCATCCTAGTTTATTTTGTAGCTGGGTCTTTTTAGTGGTGTTTTGTGGCCTCTGCTTCTGTTTGGGGTGGGTAAATAGACTCTTTATTTTCTGATATTGAAGGGTGTCGAGGTCAGAGGCGGACTGAAATCAGATGGCTGGTTAAGGGCTTTGTGTCATGTGATCTAAGTGACCTTTGATTTTAAGGCTGTGTTCAGAGACGGCAGCAGATGGGAAGACAGGTTGTCTTGCCTTGTGGTTCTTCACACGTACACACACTCATACTATCACACAGAGTGGAAGTGATGACATAGTCTGCTTAATGAAGGTCAAGATCAGCGATGAACCACTTACACAAGGAAGGATGAAACTTGTCAACACACACTCATGCAAGTACTTAAGGATCCAAATGTTTGAGACTACTAGTGAATGTGCTCCTAACCACCTTATTTTACAACATGGAAGTGAACTATTTTCTGTGCATGCTCGAGAATTGATTCATTGCTGCTATTGATAAATGACTAGGACAACCGCAAAGTGCAGTAAACGGTAAAACTATTTGAGCTACACATCAGTGTGTTTATAATTACAATAAAAAATTAAGATTTATATGATCCCAAATACCAGTTCATCAATATCAAGCAGCATAGGAACTGCTTTTGTACACTTAAAATGCCTTGCACATTCAAGTTACAAATGGCTGCACCCACTTTTACATTAAAAATAAGATTTTTGTAGTTTTATTTTTAACTTTTCAGTTTAATATTTAATCAGCAGAACAAATTGAGTGAAAAGAACTGAAATATTTGCATTAATGTCAGCAGCACTCAAGCTGCATGAACTCCAGAAGGTTTAATCGCGTTTCTTTTCCAAAATCGTCAAAGTATTTCCAGGTTTAAATTGTATTTTTGAATTCCAGGTTTTCAATGTGGTCTCAAACGTTTGGACTCGCACTAAAAACACATACTATGCAACTTCCACTCCACACTGCAGTGTTTTTTTCTCAGTGTAAATGTTATAAAGTAATTCTCAGGATTGATTGATTTGTCTCTTTCATGACTTATTTTTTCCTTCTATAGCCTGTGTTTGCTCTCTGTAGAACTGTTTACTGACTTGATGGCTGGCCTCCTTTTTTTGCCCTCTTTTGTTTGTCTTTTTTATGTTGTCTCTTTCTCTCTGCGCCCTTGTCTGTCACACCGACACTGCCAGCCGGCCACAGTCTCTCTGGCCTGTTCTCCAGCACACCATCTGTTGCAGAAACACATTTAGCCCTAATAATTCACCCACAAAACACCACATTCTGTCAGAGGTTGCGTGTTTGTCTTGTCCCGTTCCCCTCTGTCCCGTTCATGTGTCATATTGCTGAATCAGTTGCTAGGATGTTAATATTGTGCTGGTAGGTGACACAGACATGTGAAGTCACATAACCCCCCAAATACATATGCTCTTTTTGGACACTGTCAAACCATTAGACACAGAGATACACACTTTCTCTCGTCTATTCGATATTTTAGTTCTTTAAAGCATACCTAAAAGCTTTCTCTTGTACTGTGCTGTCTATTGTTCTTTTAGAAATGTGTATTTGTATGTGGTTTTTGACACAATAACAGGCAGAGAGGAGCTGATTCAGCTGGGCATAATTTATGAGATTCATTTTCTCTCATTCTCTCTCCGTATTAATCACACGGCTGGTTATCGTTATTATCTCACGTCACTTATGTTTTCTTTTCTTGCTTTGAGATGAGGGAGAAAGAGAGAGGGGGACATCTTCTTTAATTAGCTCTGCATTCTAATTGCTGATTATGCAGATCGATTTGAATCGCTTAACGCTGATAAATTATGGAGAAACCCGCCGGAGGAAACAGACAACCTAGAAGACAAAGGACAGGAGGATTTTATTATTTTTCCAAGCTTGATAATGACTGCATGTATCTCGCAGAGGGTGGTGCAACATCCTGCTAAACCCAAAAACTTCTTCCCCTGCCAGTCTCCAGACTTATTTACAATGCGAGTTCAACCATCCGAGCAGTTCTTCCCTCGACTTATCACTCTGGAGAGAAATACGAATGCATGTTCATGGATTTGGGCTGTTAACTGTCTAAATATTGACTTTATACATCAGCCTGGCTTAGCTGTGTGTGTGTGTGTATGTGGAGAAAGGAAAGGAAAGGAGAGGAGAGGGAGGTTTGTACTACAGAATTCTTTTAATCATGATTGGTTTGAGGATGCACATGATGTGGAGCTTTATGCTTGTTACAACATGCATCCCATGAAATCTCCTGAGAAATTTATGGATTTGCACGTTTTTCCAGTCGTAAATGCTCCGAGGTACTGCAAAGCCGATAAGCTTGTGTCTAAGGTGAGTTTTGAGAGAAAGAGAGAGAACCTGTATAAACTAAGGAGTTTCTCGACTTTTTTGCAAACCAATGCTGTTCTGCCATTTAAGCAGGTCTGTACTTTCATATTTGAGCCCATGAGCTTTAGTAGCATGCATGTTAAGTGCAAGAAGAGTTTCAAGGTTAAAATGCAAAGTGTTTAGATAACCGTGGATGAAATTCAAGACCGTTTTGAAAGTGAAAGCTCCTTTAAGAAATTGGGCCCCGTTTAATGTGTGCAGTTGTGAAGTCAGTTTGAGAGCCTGATAAGGGCATTTCATTGCTTTCCAAGGAAGGAAACATTCTTCTTCCTGTCTTCTGTGAGTCTATGCATTGATAAGATGAGTTAAAAAGCCATTAAAGACTTCTGTCAAGTGTGTGACTGTGGGTCTGACAACATTTTCTGTGTTTTTGCTTAAAGATAGATATTACCTACTCTAATAGAGCAACAAGCAGGTTGGGGACTCATGACCAAAAATATTGGCTGAATGGGTTAAGGTATGATTGTAGTTTTAGCCTTTTTATTATGTTTTTTTTTTTATTTAATGATTGATTGATATTTATTTATTAAATATTTATCCTGAAGTTTTTTTGAAACTTGATATGGAACATGGAAACATGAGCACTTGAGTGAGCAGTGTTGACTAAAATGATTAAAAATAGTTTGTTTATTCAAAATAAAGCAGAAATTAAATATCAAATGAAAAACTAAGATTTAATCCAAAATTAAAATAAGTAAACAAAAAAATATTGCCTTTTAGAAACTAATTGAATCATAATCAAATTACTAAGAGAAAAGGGGAGTAATTTAGGACATGTTGTAAGCCAGCCTCAAACCTTGATCACCTGTATGAGTACCTCAGCACATCAGAAACCTGTGCACTTATAGCTGCACTGAAGCTCTGACAAGGCCATCTTCGTCTAAGTTCATTATTTTCCACACTTTCTTCATAACAAAGACCAACATTGTGCCACACCTGTCGTCTTTGTTCTCGGTATGCTGACGTTTTCACCTGAGAGCTGTGCTTTTCCCAGCTGTGGTATAATGTGATGCTTGTGGCTATCCCAGTGTCCCCCTCCCCTTCTGTCCTCCTCATCCTGCTGCCGACAAGATGATGATTATTATTATTATTATTTTCTCTCTTTCTCTCCCTCTCTCTGTGTGTTTACTGTACCACCACAGCTGTCAGAGCCCCATTCCATCCATCCGGCTAGAAACCAGCTCAGACAAGCAGAAACATAGGAAGAAATTCTAGGAAAGGAGGGAGGAGGCTGTGTGTACAGGGAAGCTATCGTGGTATGTAGAGTTCGTAGTGAAGAAGACACTCTGCGTATCTGTTTCTGGTCGAAGTAGCTCGGTTCTCGCTCTCATGGTCGGGTAGTGACACATTTTGTGCGTAAAGATAAGCTGGAGGTGGAGGCGCTTCCTGTGGTTTTACTGCGGGTCGCATTGGTGTGAAATCTGTGACCTCTGAGAGACAGAATGTCTGTGCTGTGGAGGCACAGGAGCTCCAAACGCTCCTCAGAGTCCATCTATGACATGCTGCAATTGGTGAGCTTGAGTGTGTTTTTCTTTTGTGTGTGTGTGATCTACTTAATCAGCATTATATAACAGTTCATGAGCTCTGTTTTATAATACTCTGTGTCTGTCAGATTTATTGGATTAGTATGTTGTGTAGATGTATAATATTGCGCAGAATGGTTTTCAAGCATTTAAACTGATGTTCTGGGTTCAATACAACTTAATGACCACAATTATCCCTTAAAATGATGATTTGTCTCTCTGTTGTTAAAAAAATAGCAGTAACACAAATTATTAAAGTGTTTTAATAGCATAACTGTAGCACATACATTGCATGTGTTAAGATGGGACTGGTGTGAAGTCCTTTACCAACCTTCTCTGCGCAAACTTAAATGGTATCTATCTAGCCTTTTGAATCATGTTATGACTAATTAAAAAGTTACTTCCAGTTACTTTTGCTTGGTTTTTGATGTAACTTTTGTTATGTAACTATCCATAAAGTAACACCGTTTACATAGAGCAGATTCCACCCATTGGAATTATGCCAGTAGTGCGTAAACAGAAATTCATCCACCTAGAAAAGTAGTACCCATCCCCCATATAGCATGCTTTGTTACTGGAAATAAATAATTCTCAGCAGAATTATAAATCCACGTTTCTGCAATTAAACTTGCTAGAACACTATTGTAAGTGTATTAAAGGGTTAGTTTACCCAATAACTAAAATTCTGTCATTAATTACTCATGTCGTTGCAAACCTGTAAGACCTTCATTCATCTTCGGAACACAGATATTTTTGATATCAGCTTTCTGATCCTGCATAGACAGCAATGCAACTAACACATTTAAGGCCCAAAAAGGTAGTAATAACATCATTAAAATGGTCAATGTGACATTTTATGAAGCTACGAGAACATTTTTATGCACAAAGAAAACAAAAATAATGACTTTTCGTGGTACTCTCGTGAACACGTGTCGTGACTGACACGGAAGAGAAAAAAATTGTTGAATAAAGTCATTAATTTTGTTTTCTTTGCACAAAAAAAAATTCTCATAGCTTCATAACATTACAGTTGAACCACTGATGTCACATGGACTATTTTAACAATGTCCTTAATGCCTTTCTGGGCCATGAACATGGTAGTTGGGTTGCTGTCTATGCAGGGCCAGAAAGTTCTCTGATTTCATAAAAAATGAGTGGGAAAAGTTCCCTGTGCATTTTTCGCGATGGGTTCGAGTTGGTCACACGAATTCACCATGTTGACCAACATAAAGCTACTTGGTTTCAAAGCGACTTCTGTGAGTGGTGCTACACTATGCTACCCATGAAAGTTTACCAAAATTTTGCTTATGTGACTTTACATCGGTAGAACATATCCTGAAATTCATCCACCTAGAAAAGTAGTCCCTCCTCAAAAGAGTGATTTTTACACCATGTCTTATTGTTCAGTGAATGTAGTGACACATTTTGTGCGTAAAGATAAGCTGGAGGTGGAGGCGCTTCCTGTGGTTTTACTGCGGGTCGCATTGGTGTGAAATCTGTGACCTCTGAGAGACAGAATGTCTGTGCTGTGGAGGCACAGGAGCTCCAAACGCTCCTCAGAGTCCATCTATGACATGCTGCAATTGGTGAGCTTGAGTGTGTTTTTCTTTTGTGTGTGTGTGATCTACTTAATCAGCATTATATAACAGTTCATGAGCTCTGTTTTATAATACTCTGTGTCTGTCAGATTTATTGGATTAGTATGTTGTGTAGATGTATAATATTGCGCAGAATGGTTTTCAAGCATTTAAACTGATGTTCTGGGTTCAATACAACTTAATGACCACAATTATCCCTTAAAATGATGATTTGTCTCTCTGTTGTTAAAAAAATAGCAGTAACACAAATTATTAAAGTGTTTTAATAGCATAACTGTAGCACATACATTGCATGTGTTAAGATGGGACTGGTGTGAAGTCCTTTACCAACCTTCTCTGCGCAAACTTAAATGGTATCTATCTAGCCTTTTGAATCATGTTATGACTAATTAAAAAGTTACTTCCAGTTACTTTTGCTTGGTTTTTGATGTAACTTTTGTTATGTAACTATCCATAAAGTAACACCGTTTACATAGAGCAGATTCCACCCATTGGAATTATGCCAGTAGTGCGTAAACAGAAATTCATCCACCTAGAAAAGTAGTACCCATCCCCCATATAGCATGCTTTGTTACTGGAAATAAATAATTCTCAGCAGAATTATAAATCCACGTTTCTGCAATTAAACTTGCTAGAACACTATTGTAAGTGTATTAAAGGGTTAGTTTACCCAATAACTAAAATTCTGTCATTAATTACTCATGTCGTTGCAAACCTGTAAGACCTTCATTCATCTTCGGAACACAGATATTTTTGATATCAGCTTTCTGATCCTGCATAGACAGCAATGCAACTAACACATTTAAGGCCCAAAAAGGTAGTAATAACATCATTAAAATGGTCAATGTGACATTTTATGAAGCTACGAGAACATTTTTATGCACAAAGAAAACAAAAATAATGACTTTTCGTGGTACTCTCGTGAACACGTGTCGTGACTGACACGGAAGAGAAAAAAATTGTTGAATAAAGTCATTAATTTTGTTTTCTTTGCACAAAAAAAAATTCTCATAGCTTCATAACATTACAGTTGAACCACTGATGTCACATGGACTATTTTAACAATGTCCTTAATGCCTTTCTGGGCCATGAACATGGTAGTTGGGTTGCTGTCTATGCAGGGCCAGAAAGTTCTCTGATTTCATAAAAAATGAGTGGGAAAAGTTCCCTGTGCATTTTTCGCGATGGGTTCGAGTTGGTCACACGAATTCACCATGTTGACCAACATAAAGCTACTTGGTTTCAAAGCGACTTCTGTGAGTGGTGCTACACTATGCTACCCATGAAAGTTTACCAAAATTTTGCTTATGTGACTTTACATCGGTAGAACATATCCTGAAATTTATCCACCTAGAAAAGTAGTCCCTCCTCAAAAGAGTGATTTTTACACCATGTCTTATTGTTCAGTGAATTGTTGTGGGCACAATCCAGTCATTTCATTGTGAATCCACGCGATCTTTAGTGCAAAAAAATGCAGATTTTGCACCGGTTTCAAGTTGGTCACACACAAATTCACCACACAAACAGAAAGCTGCTTGGTTCAACCCTGCTGGAACACTTTCCCCATAGACTTCCACTGCAAGCACATTACTGTACGTGTGTACACCATGTCTTATTGTTCAGTGAATTGTTGTGGGCACAATCCAGTCATTTCATTGTGAATCCACGCGATCTTTAGTGCAAAAAAATGCAGATTTTGCACCGGTTTCAAGTTGGTCACACACAAATTCACCACACGAACAGAAAGCTGCTTGGTTCAACCCTGCTGGAACACTTTCCCCATAGACTTCCACTGCAAGCACATTACTGTACGTGTGTTTTTTTTTGTTTGTTTACAGAACAAGGAAAAGTCCACATTTTTGTCCAAAGCATGCCACAGATGTTGTCGATAAAGCTTAAATTGTAAACCAGAAAAACGATAGAGCTCATTACTTTTATCTCCCTACATCGCACCACCTCTCTCCAGGCTGTCCAGGCTGGTTAAGGCATGCTGGGGTGTGCGGGCTTTTTGTCAGTCCGTCACTATGTGTTTATCAAAGAGGAATTCATGCTGCTGGAAGCCCCATCTGTCCTCTGTTCCTCCTGTCTGTGTGAATCCGTTCCACTTCTTCCTGAACACTATCCTGAGTCTGAGTTCTTGCTGTAGTGCTGTGACATACGAGATGTGACACTGAGGTTGAAGATCTTTGGATTGGAATCTGTCATTTTGGACAGGTTTGCATTGTTTAGGTGGATAATTGCTTTCTTTCAAGTATTTGGAAGCTAGATGATGCATGTGTGTTGTGTAATGTTTGTCAGTGATGTCAAAAAAATGCATTACATTCAGTAAGTAGTACAAGGGGATGCGGTTTTTAGATTTAATTTTTGTATGTTTATAGAAATATGAGGGTGTTTTCAATAGTGGTAAGTCAAAGTAATCTTGGCTAAGGGCAAGGTGTGCTCTTTGAAAACTTGTTGACAAGTTCCTAGATGGAAAATCCACCCAGTGCCATATTTCCCAAGGAGACGAACTGTTCGGTACTAAATTACAACAGAGTCCTTTCAAAGATCTGACATAGACCATCTTAAAGTTATTTATCGCACAGACAGTTGTAATTACACTTCAGCCAAGGCATGATGTGCCTTGTCTTTGGAGTTCAGCCAGAACATCTCTGAATGCGTGTTTGGAACTGGAAATGCATCTTTCTGAATCTCGAATACTCTGAATACCTGTGTGGGTGTGTGCTTGTTGCTGGTGAACATTTTAGAGGCATGTGTGTGTGAGCATTCTCTTAGTTTTTATTTTTTTGTGTTTTTTTTTATTTTTTATATATATGTTCAGATTTTAAAAGTCATGTAGTGTATTTCAGCCTTTGATTGCTCCTGGTGTTGACATTGACATTTTGTTTGTCTCCACAGAGTACAGAGCAGGTGACTGCTTTCTGCCGCAACCTTCATGATATGAATTCCACCGAGGGTCCCGTTTCCTGTTCCTCATCTTCCTCCACATCTTCCTTCTCTTCATCCTGTGTGCCCAGCCCCATCTCACCCCTACCAGTTCTCTTCACCCCACGCCAGCTCTCCGATGCTGATAAACTGCGTAAGGTCATCAGTGAGCTGGTGGACACTGAGAGGACCTATGTTAAGGTCAGTATTTGCTGTGCTTTTAAAGCGTTGTTTCGATTTTTAACATGTTAGATTTGATCATGATAAACCTGCTGGATGAAAATCACTCCTGGTTTAAAACTTGTAATATAAAAGCTGCGCTGAAGCCAAACATGAACAAGTCTTCGACTCTCTCTATCTACAGGACCTGAACATTTTGATAGAGCGCTACCTGAACCCCCTACAGAAGGAGAGCATCCTCTCACAGGATGAGGTGAGAATTTTTTTTATATTCATTATATTTATTTATATTAAAAAGAAAATATTCATTATATATTTTAAAATATAGAATGAATAATATAATTAACTTCTGAAAATATTATTGATAAATAAGATTCACAAATCGCTTATTCCCTCTACACTCATAGCTGGATGTGCTTTTTGGAAACTTGGCGGAGATGGTGGAATTCCAAGTGGAGTTTCTGAAAACTCTGGAAGATGGAACCAGATTAGTTCCAGATTTAGACAAACTGGAGAGAGTGGATCAATTCAAGGTGCAGTTATTAGTCCATTTTTTTTTTATTACATGATTTTGGATCATCTGAGTAGATGCTAAATATGATTGGCACCATAAGAAGGTCACTATTGTCTCCTAATTGCACGTTTTGATGAATCATTCAGTGTTTTCTAATTCATTGTCTTCTAACTTCCAGAAAGTTCTGTTTTCTCTTGGTGGATCCTTCCTGTACTATGCAGATCGTTTTAAGATCTACAGTGCTTTTTGTGCCAGCCACACAAAGGTCCCAAAGGTCCTTACCAAAGGTAATGCCACTGAACTTTCAGAGACTGGTTTACTAGCATTAGCACAATGTTTTAAAGTGCAGGAGAGCCCTTGGTTCCTGGAGTACCATTCCTTGTCGTTTAATTGCCATGTTCAGTGACTATGCTTTATGTTGGCTAGTTTTATTAGTTGTTGTTCTGAAGCCCTACCAACTGCCAAAGGCCAGTTTTCATAGTTTATTCAAAGCTAGAGGGGTGTTTTTACTCTCTCACAAGCAAATGATGTACCCCAAAGCATTTTACTGAGGAATAATGACCCTTTTTAGGGGTCTACTGTGAAAAATTGTCATTTCCCAAGGCACCAAAGCTATTCCGCTGATGTATGTGAATGAAGATGTTTCCTGTGGGAAGAGAGGATCAAGTTTTAACTTGATTGACTGAAATTTCTATGGATAAATGTGTTGGAGTATAAACTTTCATCTAAAATGTGAGCCCGACATTCTTGCAGTTGAGAAAGTTGATTTACTCAAATGTAATTGTCTTTATATCAAGTTAAGACCCCTGTCCAAGTTAAAGTCTAGTTTACAACTGATTTGAAATTCCTGTGCCATCCCATAACTTCTCCTCCACACTTTTGGTGCAGCTAAAACAGACCCGGAGTTCAAGGCATTCCTGGCTGAGAGGAACCCCAGGCAACAGCACTCTTCCACGCTGGAGTCCTACCTGATCAAACCCATTCAGAGAGTCTTAAAATACCCACTACTCCTGAGGGAGCTTCACTCCCTTACCAACCCTGACAGCGAGGAACATTACCATCTGGATGGTAAATATGGCGATTTAGATACTAATTGAGCATAATCTTAGGCCATGGGTGGATCTATTTGTAGTGTAATATGATGCAGCTCCTCTTCTGAGCTAGATGAGCAGGTTTTGAAAACGTTTAAAAACAGAATTTTGCTTGCTCTTTTGAAATTTGTTTGCCCTTGCAGTTCATTCAGACTGTTTATCAAAGCGTAGTCGGAGTAAACTATAGTAGTTATTACCTGTAAAATGATTAATCAAAATAAGACTGAAATCGCAATATGGCTTAGTGCACTTTTATCAAATCACAATTTAGTTAAATGTGTGCTGCGTGTTTCGGAGTGAAGCACATCACTGTGTTGATTTACACCAGAGTAGCTCATAACCCAGTGTTTTCAGTGTCTCAGAGTAGATGCAAAATGAACTGAGGTGCTCTGAATTTGGGTGACTTATGCATTTGAGAACACCATCAAACATCTTCCTAAACTTGTAATGAGAAGCGTTGTCAGAAGCTTTAAGGGTCCTTGCGGTTTTCCTCCAAATTAAATAGCTTGGTTAAATGTTTGAAAATGCAGTACTTAAGACACCCATAAATATTAGTATCGTAATTGTACAAATGTACTCTAAAATTATAATAATTATATTTTTTCAGAAAAATCACAATCACATTTCCCCCCCTAAATCATGCAGCCCTAATCAGAATAGGTCATTTGCACACATTCTTAAAGCTACAGTAACACAATTCTAGTGGGGGTAATTCTAAAGGCGGAATGCTCCAAATGGCTAAAAAAACTCTTAATTCTTTAGTTGCAGTTTATTAAGTCTCTTATGTTTTTGTAGTTGCAATGAAAGCCATGAACAAAGTGGCCAGTCACATAAATGAAATGCAGAAGATTCATGAGGAGTATGGAGCCGTGTTTGACCAACTCATCAGCGAGCAGAGCTCTGACAAGAAAGAGGTACTGTTCCACTAGTCTCTCTTAGGTCTTTGTAACTCTAAAATTTGCATTCATTGATACTACTTGAAACCAATATTGTAATGCCACCATCAAATGCCATGATGTGTGCACTGATGTCTTCTAACATCTAAAAAAGTGAATGGATTTGGTTTTACAACATTGTTTACTCCTATTCCAGGTTGCTGACCTGTCAATGGGCGACCTCTTGTTGCATGACACTGTGGTCTGGATCAACCCACCCTCTTCTCTCATGAAGGGGAAGAGGGACCCAGAGCTGGCTGCGTTCGGTGAGTGTTTGTAAAATGCTTCTTCCCGAAATAGAATCCTGTTCTCTTATTCATTAGTCTGTTTCCTACAGTAATGGTTCCCTGCATCAGTAAAGGCTGATCTGTATCTTTAGCTTTATCTTTGGGCACAATGGCATTAGAGGAGCCTCCTTGGCTCTTAAGACATTAAAGTTGCATTTATACACACAGCTTTTTTTCCCCTCGGCTAAGACATTTTTGAAGAAACTCTTCAGATGCTTTAAAAATGGGTCAGTTTGCCATTGAAGTTGGCAGTATTTCACCGGGTCACGTTTTTACTCCAACTCTTCTGAAAAGAGCCCCAAGCATCTCTATTGTGAATGTTTTGTGTGTCTTAATGTTTTATTTCATTTTTTTTCCCCCATCAGTTTTCAGAACAGCAGTTGTTTTTGTGTATAAGGACTGCTCCAAGCACAAGAAAAAAAACGTAAGTGCTTTTTCCCTTTCTTCATTATTCATTAATAGAGGTCTGATAGGCTCTAAGTGCTTGCAGACTAGCGCTTTTAAGAGGTGTAGTTTTTGGGTTTTATTGAAGGGCACATTGTGAATGTGAAGTGAGGATTCCCTTCTCTTGTACTTGATTAATTTATGTCGTCTCTTCGGCTTATTTCACATGGTCAACAAAACTCTGTGACAATTGACACTGAGACCTTTCACTTGTTTGCGATATTATAAAACTATGTGACGTAGAGAATACATTACTTCCCTAACGTCCTGTTTTCAGTGTGTCAGGTGGTGGATGCCAATAAAGATCAATTTGAAATGTTTTCTCGATCCTCACAAAGCCCCCCAACACATTTTTTTGCTGTTATTTTGTCTCAGGGTGGATCTCACAGAGCATCAATCCTTGATGAGAGAGACCCTTTTCGGTTTAGACACATGATCTCTACAGACACTCTCCAAGTTCGCAACCTCCCTAGTAAGTATTGGTCTACTAGTCTCATTCTTTTCCCACAGACCTATTGAGACTAGTGTGGTATATTAACTACATGCTTTAGATTAACTTTGATAATGCGAGTAATGCATTTTACATCCCATGTGCCCTGATGACACTTGATGATCACAGTAAAGTTTGCTTTGGCTCAACTGGCTCAGGCCAGAATGTTGATATTCCCTGTTGATGGTTAGGGGTTAAAAGGTCATCCTACAGGAACTTGGGGTCTGCACTTTTGTTCATTGTCCCATGGTCTGTGTCTTCCATGAAGTTCATTAACCCTGTGCTGATCTGGGAGGTTTTGTACTTTACAGAGTTTCCCACAGACCTTTTACCAGCATACTGTTAACCTGGCGTTTCTTTCATTTCAGATTCAGAGGGGTCTGCAATGTGTGAGCTTGTTCACATGAGGTCAGAATCTGAAGGGAGACCCGAGAGGACCTTCCACATCTGCTGCAGGTGAGATGAGGTCCAGAATGTCACGCATCTACTTTTCTTTTATAATTCTCAAACTTTTTTTGGATGAAATCCCTTACGAAAATTAACCAGAGTTTTATTATAGTAAAAATGTAGTAGTAATGTTTTTTGGCATATTGATTACCATTTGTATAACCACAGTTTTACTGCAAATACCATGGTTAAACTATGGTTAGTGTAGCAAAACCATGGTTACATTTTTTATTTTTTTTTGTCTTCAAAAGTTTTTTTTGGCTCCATTTTTCAAAACTCTACACACAACACACACATGCAAAACGTCACACACATCTTGCAAAAGCAAACACTTCTTTGAAAACTATTTCAACTCTTCTAAAATAGTATTTTTGCATAGTAACTCTACACACAAAATAATATTGAATGCTTTTTATTTTTTATATTTTTAGCTCTCCAGAGAGTAAAAAAGACTTCCTGAAGACCATTCATTCTATCCTGAGGGACAAACAACGCCGTCAGTTAATGAAGACTGAGAGTTTGCCTCCAAATCAGCAGTATATTCCCTTCGGAGGGAAGCGGCTTTGTGCGCTAAAGGGTTCACGACCCACAATGAACAGAGCGGGTATGTTGGGGACATCTGATGCAAATTGAACATTGACTTTTTTCTGCAACACTCCCCTTTGCCAAAGGCCAGTTTTCATAGTTTATTCAAAACTAGAGGGGTGTTTTTACTCCCTCACAAGCAAATGATGTACCCCAAAGCATTTTACTGAGGAATAATGACCCTTTTTAGGGGTCTACTGTGAAAAATGGTCATTTCCCAAGGCACCAAAGCTATTCCGCTGATGTATGTGAATGAAGATGTTTCCTGTGGGAAGAGAGGATCAAGTTTTAACTTGATTGACTGAAATTTCTATGGATAAATGTGTTGGAGTATAAACTTTCATCTAAAATGTGAGCCCGACATTCTTGCAGTTGAGAAAGTTGATTTACTCAAATGTAATTGTCTTTATATCAAGTTAAGACCCCTGTCCAAGTTAAAGTCTAGTTTACAACTGATTTGAAATTCCTGTGCCATCCCATAACTTCTCCTCCACACTTTTGGTGCAGCTAAAACAGACCCGGAGTTCAAGGCATTCCTGGCTGAGAGGAACCCCAGGCAACAGCACTCTTCCACGCTGGAGTCCTACCTGATCAAACCCATTCAGAGAGTCTTAAAATACCCACTACTCCTGAGGGAGCTTCACTCCCTTACCAACCCTGACAGCGAGGAACATTACCATCTGGATGGTAAATATGGCGATTTAGATACTAATTGAGCATAATCTTAGGCCATGGGTGGATCTATTTGTAGTGTAATATGATGCAGCTCCTCTTCTGAGCTAGATGAGCAGGTTTTGAAAACGTTTAAAAACAGAATTTTGCTTGCTCTTTTGAAATTTGTTTGGCCTTGCAGTTCATTCAGACTGTTTATCAAAGCGTAGTCGGAGTAAACTATAGTAGTTATTACCTGTAAAATGATTAATCAAAATAAGACTGAAATCGCAATATGGCTTAGTGCACTTTTATCAAATCACAATTTAGTTAAATGTGTGCTGCGTGTTTCGGAGTGAAGCACATCACTGTGTTGATTTACACCAGAGTAGCTCATAACCCAGTGTTTTCAGTGTCTCAGAGTAGATGCAAAATGAACTGAGGTGCTCTGAATTTGGGTGACTTATGCATTTGAGAACACCATCAAACATCTTCCTAAACTTGTAATGAGAAGCGTTGTCAGAAGCTTTAAGGGTCCTTGCGGTTTTCCTCCAAATTAAATAGCTTGGTTAAATGTTTGAAAATGCAGTACTTAAGACACCCATAAATATTAGTATCGTAATTGTACAAATGTACTCTAAAATTATAATAATTATATTTTTTCAGAAAAATCACAATCACATTTCCCCCCTAAATCATGCAGCCCTAATCAGAATAGGTCATTTGCACACATTCTTAAAGCTACAGTAACACAATTCTAGTGGGGGTAATTCTAAAGGCGGAATGCTCCAAATGGCTAAAAAAACTCTTAATTCTTTAGTTGCAGTTTATTAAGTCTCTTATGTTTTTGTAGTTGCAATGAAAGCCATGAACAAAGTGGCCAGTCACATAAATGAAATGCAGAAGATTCATGAGGAGTATGGAGCCGTGTTTGACCAACTCATCAGCGAGCAGAGCTCTGACAAGAAAGAGGTACTGTTCCACTAGTCTCTCTTAGGTCTTTGTAACTCTAAAATTTGCATTCATTGATACTACTTGAAACCAATATTGTAATGCCACCATCAAATGCCATGATGTGTGCACTGATGTCTTCTAACATCTAAAAAAGTGAATGGATTTGGTTTTACAACATTGTTTACTCCTATTCCAGGTTGCTGACCTGTCAATGGGCGACCTCTTGTTGCATGACACTGTGGTCTGGATCAACCCACCCTCTTCTCTCATGAAGGGGAAGAGGGACCCAGAGCTGGCTGCGTTCGGTGAGTGTTTGTAAAATGCTTCTTCCCGAAATAGAATCCTGTTCTCTTATTCATTAGTCTGTTTCCTACAGTAATGGTTCCCTGCATCAGTAAAGGCTGATCTGTATCTTTAGCTTTATCTTTGGGCACAATGGCATTAGAGGAGCCTCCTTGGCTCTTAAGACATTAAAGTTGCATTTATACACACAGCTTTTTTTCCCCTCGGCTAAGACATTTTTGAAGAAACTCTTCAGATGCTTTAAAAATGGGTCAGTTTGCCATTGAAGTTGGCAGTATTTCACCGGGTCACGTTTTTACTCCAACTCTTCTGAAAAGAGCCCCAAGCATCTCTATTGTGAATGTTTTGTGTGTCTTAATGTTTTATTTCATTTTTTTTCCCCCATCAGTTTTCAGAACAGCAGTTGTTTTTGTGTATAAGGACTGCTCCAAGCACAAGAAAAAAAACGTAAGTGCTTTTTCCCTTTCTTCATTATTCATTAATAGAGGTCTGATAGGCTCTAAGTGCTTGCAGACTAGCGCTTTTTTAAGAGGTGTAGTTTTTGGGTTTTATTGAAGGGCACATTGTGAATGTGAAGTGAGGATTCCCTTCTCTTGTACTTGATTAATTTCTGTCGTCTCTTCGGCTTATTTCACATGGTCAACAAAACTCTGTGACAATTGACACTGAGACCTTTCACTTGTTTGCGATATTATAAAACTATGTGACGTAGAGAATACATTACTTCCCTAACGTCCTGTTTTCAGTGTGTCAGGTGGTGGATGCCAATAAAGATCAATTTGAAATGTTTTCTCGATCCTCACAAAGCCCCCCAACACATTTTTTTGCTGTTATTTTGTCTCAGGGTGGATCTCACAGAGCATCAATCCTTGATGAGAGAGACCCTTTTCGGTTTAGACACATGATCTCTACAGACACTCTCCAAGTTCGCAACCTCCCTAGTAAGTATTGGTCTACTAGTCTCATTCTTTTCCCACAGACCTATTGAGACTAGTGTGGTATATTAACTACATGCTTTAGATTAACTTTGATAATGCGAGTAATGCATTTTACATCCCATGTGCCCTGATGACACTTGATGATCACAGTAAAGTTTGCTTTGGCTCAACTGGCTCAGGCCAGAATGTTGATATTCCCTGTTGATGGTTAGGGGTTAAAAGGTCATCCTACAGGAACTTGGGGTCTGCACTTTTGTTCATTGTCCCATGGTCTGTGTCTTCCATGAAGTTCATTAACCCTGTGCTGATCTGGGAGGTTTTGTACTTTACAGAGTTTCCTTTTACCAGCTTACCAGCATACTGTTAACCTGGCGTTTCTTTCATTTCAGATTCAGAGGGGTCTGCAATGTGTGAGCTTGAGGTCAGAATGTCAGAATCTGAAGGGAGACCCGAGAGGACCTTCCACATCTGCTGCAGGTGAGATGAGGTCCAGAATGTCACGCATCTACTTTTCTTTTATAATTCTCAAACTTTTTTTGGATGAAATCCCTTACGAAAATTAACCAGAGTTTTATTATAGTAAAAATGTAGTAGTAATGTTTTTTGGCATATTGATTACCATTTGTATAACCACAGTTTTACTGCAAATACCATGGTTAAACTATGGTTAGTGTAGCAAAACCATGGTTACATTTTTTATTTTTTTTTGTCTTCAAAAGTTTTTTTTGGCTCCATTTTTCAAAACTCTACACACAACACACACATGCAAAACGTCACACACATCTTGCAAAAGCAAACACTTCTTTGAAAACTATTTCAACTCTTCTAAAATAGTATTTTTGCATAGTAACTCTACACACAAAATAATATTGAATGCTTTTTATTTTTTATATTTTTAGCTCTCCAGAGAGTAAAAAAGACTTCCTGAAGACCATTCATTCTATCCTGAGGGACAAACAACGCCGTCAGTTAATGAAGACTGAGAGTTTGCCTCCAAATCAGCAGTATATTCCCTTCGGAGGGAAGCGGCTTTGTGCGCTAAAGGGTTCACGACCCACAATGAACAGAGCGGGTATGTTGGGGACATCTGATGCAAATTGAACCTTGATGACTTTTTTCTGCAACACTCCCCTTCTCTCTGCTCCTCTCCCTATATTCCTGCTAACTCTCCCACTGTGTCTCTTTCCTCTTACTCTCATTAACATGATTAACGCCTTTTTGTTTCAGGCTTTAGGGTGAGCTGATTATTACGTAAATTTAAATTCTAGTGTCCACCAGACGATATTGCTGCTTTCTTTCCTAAAGTAGAAAACCGTCTGCTGTTTCAAAAACGATATTTAGCATTCATGCTTTCTTCTCTTCCAGTTTCAGCCCCATCTCGAACCCTCGGCCGCCGGAAGCTGATCCGTAATCGTTTCACCATAGACACGAGTGTGGTTTTCGACGACGGCTCGTCCCAAGAGCTCTCACCCATCTCCCCGACAGAGCCCCCGCTGTCTTCGCTCCAGAAACCCCAGCAGCCCATCCGAGACACAGACCGCTGGGTGGAGGATCAGTTCGACCTGCAGCACTATGAAAACCAGGACGACGTGAAGGAGACGGACATCCTCAGCGACGACGATGAGTACTGCCAATCTGTCCGGGGCCCTTCCTCTGAGCCGAGTCTGGAGGAGTCTTTAGAGGCCCTCTCAGTAGAAGGAGATGAAGACAACGGACTTTCGGATGACAAACCTCCGAAATCCCACGCCCCCCTGAAGCTGACCCTCCTGAGAAAGCAGTGCGCGGTTGAGGGAGCCGCTTCTGAGAGGGACTCCGAGGTTATTTGGGTTCGCAGGGACGATTTTAAAAACAGCTGCAACAGTGACATCTTCTGAGCGTAGAGGGAATGTGCGAGCTGTGATGTTTTGTTTTATAGACTTGAGTGAGAGTAAGGTAGAAATCTACTGAGTCCTAGTCTTCACGGACATGATGCACTGACAATCCTACTGAAAGCCAGAACTGAAGAACTTGCACCATAGAAAAGCTTCTTGATGTTTCAAGCCACTCCACCCTAATATCAATGCAGACTTCCTGCCATTTAAGTATAACTGTACAGCCAATGTATTTATAGAGGCTTCATACTGACAGACAGGCAGCTCAACATGTTCTTTCAGTTGATCTTTTTGTTTGAAACACAAGATTGTGGTCGATCTGTTCAGTTGTGGTTCATGTCCTCATTTTTATTCAGGGATTTGTGACTTGATGCTTCGTATAACCTCGCTAGTTCTTCGTAATGGCTACTACACGCAGGTGATTTTTGTCGAGCGCGGCAACGTTCCCTGAAAATGTCATGACAGTTCGGCTAGCTGTTTAATGCCATTCCTGTTACAAACCCAACAGTTCCTTGCTTTCTGTCTTTGTTCCCTTTTGCTCATAGGTCACCAGCAACCCAGTATTAACAATCACTGTACAAAACATGCACACACAGAGAAATAATGTTCTACTTGAATATGGTAGAATGAACTGCAATAATGTAATTTCGTTTATTTGTTAGGAAATCAAACTACCCATAATCCTCGCTAGGTGGGCTTTGGTGTGCTTGTGAATTCAACAGCCAGACTTTTAGGTGCATAAATAAGGTATTTTAATTCAAAGCACCCTTACAAAGTGATGAAATGTAGCAGATTTGTCCTGTTAATACTGAATTAGTCTCGGTGAGAATGAGATTTTTGAAGAGTTTGGTCTTGTGGTATTTTGTACCAAGATAAAGATGCACACGTTACACCCTGCACATGTATTTTAAAATAAGAGATGCCCTTCCACGTGAAAAACAATCACTGCACCTTCAGCCATGGATCCTTTTTAGTGGAACTGACTGTATTTAAGACAAAAGTGTAAAAACTCCTTGCTTTTACCCTCTGCATTTTTGAGAGTGTATGTTCATACTGTGGAAATAATTATTAACCTAAAATAAATTTTCCTAATTTATATTTGCAGTTTTATCCTAATAACTTTGTACGTGCTCTGTTCTTTGTCAACGCGGCACCGGTTAGCTGTGTTTTAAATAAAGTTTGGTGTGATTTTTAAACACAGTGACTTGTCTTATTAAAAATAAATTCAGCAGATTATGATGACTCTGAAAGAAAAAAAGGTGTTGTACAGAAATCTTAATGTAAAAATTTGACTCCTGCTTCTGATTAGTTTATTCAGTGCGGATGCTGCTACCTGATTGGTCCCCATAACTAAAACCCACCCCCACACCTAATCTTAACCCTCAAAAATAGAAGCAGGGGAATCATAATCTCACTCAGATTTTGATACCACCCTGGAATGTCTATGAAAATGTCCTTGTCATATCGGGTGTAAGCACAAGGTGGCAGTGAAGCGCTGCACCAAACTGGCGTTTTTTTGTCTATATAAAAATACATCATTAATGACTTTATTAACCACAAAACACAACGCCGACAATATATTTTCTGCATTTTCCACCCACAGAAGTGTACAAATGAGTCATATTTAATGGTCATTGAGCCAGTGCCTGCATTTTCTCCTCTCCTGCGGGTTGTTTTTGTCCTTGTGCGTTCAAGCAAAGTAGTTGCTATTAGTAGTTCCTGCTCTTGATGCATTGTTAAATCAAGAACAGTTTGAATCATCAGATGCTCTTTTTGTTGCATAAAATTCAGTTTTTCCACATTTTATGCTAGTTTCTAAAATGTCTACATTTCAGGGATCCAATATTAATTCTTACATATATCTACATATACTAATATTTAAATGAATAATTTTATACAATGCATTTATATGTGTGCATTAGACGTATAAAACAGTTCTCAACATTATTGACATGTACTATATATTTTGAACATATTTTCAAGTTCATATAGATCCATTAGGCAGCCGTTTAAAAATCAAGTGCACCAGAACATCATTTTCTGCTCTGCTGTTGAGAAACCAATTTTGATTTAGAAAATGAAACACCATTTACAGTGTTTACAGTAAATACAACACTCATAACCAGTTCTCTGCCATTGAATGAAAAATAAATAGGATGTTCCATTTGCTAAATAGCACATCGCATTTCTATTTCAGGTAGCTGTCAGACCATGAGAGCCTGAGGGAAGAAGAATGTTACCAAAACGACAAACTAAGGGACAGTTGTCCCACATCAATTTTGGAAATTTATACTTAATAAAAACGTTCTAACACTCCCAGAGCCCTTATCAGTCCTGCTCTGATTCCATGCAGTGTCTTGGAGAAATGTTATCCACCGTCATGTAAGTACAGTGAGTTTTAAATGACTTAATAAGCTAATCTATTGAATGCGCTGGAATTGCATAGTTATGACTCAGTAGTTGTATTTCCTGATCATTGAACTGTTTTATTATGGGTTGTGACATTTTTTTTGTGGTCGATCTGCTTTATGGATTGTGACTTTTTTCACCTCTTAAAACATTTTTATTCTTTTTCCGCACACTTCTGCCTGCTGACTAGTCGATTTAATGAATAATAAATCATAAACATGTCAATAAATGCACTCAGGTGAAGATGTGACCATGCATTATTTGAAATGCTCCAGGATTGAAACTGAAATTCGTCTTTACTTCTCTCCTACCAGCCACAGTTGATCATCAATATTAGCTTTGCCACTTGCAGACACCATCAACAGAGGGTTGAAAAAGAGCTTTGAGAAGAAGAAATCATGGATGAGTAGCTGAATCGAACTGATGAAACATTCATCAGACTGAGGAAAGCAAGAATCCTATGTGTCGCTATAGTAGCTATGATTTGTGCTTATTACGGCTTTCTCTGTAATCACAGGGTTACCAAGGTGGAAACTCACAGTACGCTCTGAATCATGGACAGAATATGAAGGACTTTGGACTAAATGTTCTTTTATCCATGATGCCAGTTCATTACTGTGCAAAGCCTATTTAGATCCAGCCCCGTGGTCAGCTCGTTACTTTGTAACTCTCTCTCTTTGGTTCTGGCTGCAGCTGCATGGATCAGTTCGCTCATGAGCATTCAGTGCACCCGTCCCAACAGTGCCAGGCGCTGCCTGATTGGAGCAGCCTGTTTGCACCTGCTCGCTTCACTCACTACTCTCATCCCTGTGTCCTGGATGGCACTCGGCATCTTCCATGCCGATCGTGGTCTGAGCTCCATTCAGTTCCACATGGGGGAGGCTCTGTTTGTAGGCTGGCTGGCCTCGTGTTTGCTATGCACAGCCGGGTTGTTGCAGTGCTGTTCTCTGGGCCCTTCATCAGCGCAGGAGAAGAAACAAGCATCGCTGAGTGCTCCAGCCATAGTGACATCAGTTTGGACACACTGTTCAGCTCAGCCAGCCTAGACTCTCTTGTAAAAATGGTTAAGTTGGTAACAGTGTTGTCTTTTTCAATTCACTTATAAATAAGGAAAATAAAAACTGAAGGGATATTTCAATATGTGCTACAGCTGATGATTTTGCATCACATTAAGGTGTTTAATTTAGTCAAATAAATATTTTATATTTATTTTATAAGTATATTATTTATGATCATTGCTTCTTCCTTTGCTGTTATAAGATTTGTCCAACAAGTGGCGTTGTGTGCCGCCATTTGGCAAAAAAAAAAGCAAGCTTTTTAATTCACTGTGGCGTTCGTTGGTCCGATTCAATTTATCGAATCGGTTCTTTCCCACAAACGAGACCAAATTCAACCGAGTCATCACTTAAAAGAGTTTTAAGAATTATTATGTTTGATTTGTGATAAATGCTGCTTTTCACGGTATTTTAGTAATAATAAACACTAATAGGCTATGAGTTACCAATAGATTCCATCTTTTTGCTAAAAAAAAGTTATTTTGCAGCCGAGGAATCAATCAATCAAGAATCGGCTCAAAAGAACATTTCGTGCGAACAAGACATCGCTATTTCTGTGGACTGCCCCGTGCACGCAAATATTTTGAGCATTAACTAATTATGAGCAATTACCTTACTTTCTATGACACGATTCAGCTCAGTCTGCCTAAAACGGATTGTCACTAAATATGTGGCTGGTTTGAAAAAGAACAATAGAAATAGAGCACTAAACAAAATGTAAGACCCTGAAAAATTTATCTTCAATCTGTGTGAACTTAAAAATGAAGATAACGTCTTGAAGAAAGCCAGACGTTTAGCAGATTGGGTTTTAATCCTGCGTCTGGATCATGAGTCTGTCAGTGGCACGCGCTCTTTACTATCCTCGCCGTGCGCGTGCGGAGTGCTACAAGTATTTGAGGCGATGAACAAAGGGTATCAGCACAAAATCCTACCTGAAATATCTTGAAGAGTGCGTTACATCGTGGATTTTCGGGGAAAGGATGATAACGTGTTGTTTTTGAGGCAATAACCGGCTATTTCGAGGAGCTGTTTCCATTGCGCGCGATGGGAGGTGAATGGAAGTTGATGAGCGCGCGCTATGGTTCCTTAAATCCAGTTTTATGACATGAAGTTTATTATTTGTTACCTCTTTTGATTACAGAGCCATGGAGAAGCGCAGAAAACTGTTATTTTCCCTTTTTTACTTGATGTCAAAGTTTTACCTTGGTGACCAGCAGGTCATACGAATTGGTAAGTGATTGTTTATCATGACTCGTCATTGTCACCTGCAATTATTGTTAATTCATAAACTTTCAGTGTTTGTTCAGCATCGAGTGTCTTTGTTGTCACGTCACCGCTCTTTATGCGACTTGAAGTGTTATTGCTTGTTTAAAAAAAAGCCATCTATCTGATGTTTTTATGACCTCTAAATGCATTCCGTTTATTTGTCGTATCTGCATATCCATGTAGAATATGGTCTGCATATTCACTTACATTATCAGCATTGTCATTGATATAGCTACTATAATAATCTATTTTGTTACAGAAGTCTAACTAATGGTGAAAACTTTCTCAAAATGGGATGAAATCATTAACAAAGAATCAGTTACTTTGGTCATTACTTTGGTGCATTATTGTTTGTAATGGGTTGACCTTGGATTGGCCCAGGGGTTTGTAATGGGTTGACCTTTCTTTACATAAGAAGTGTAGTTGGCAGGTCATCTTGAAAGTAAACAACCCATAAATGCATTCCTCGTTTAATATTAAATCATCAGCATCATCACCACTGAAATGAGATTTGAGAGATTTGATCACTGGCTCTCCTCTGTGTGTTATTGAGATAAAGCGTCCTGTAGTCACATAGAGGACAGTAGGGTCTGATGATTGCTGCTGTCTGACTTTGCCATCACTGTAAATCCCCAAAGCAGTTTTAACAACCTACATTAATCCTCTTTCCTACCCAAGACTGATTTGATGTTCCTCTCCAAATGGGACTTCAGTTGAAACAGAAAGCTTGGCATATTGCTTCAGTGGGATGGATTGTGAAATACTAATAGTATAAATAATAGTTCATATGGATCAGCCATCCATAAATAAACTAGACATTGAAATTATCTACATTTAAGTTTACTGTATAGATCTACTCTTGATGTGGGTCATTTTTCCTAGGACTTGTGTATAGAACAGAATGAAAGAGTATTTTAGCCCCAGATGTAACCATCTGACTGCCCTATATTGATTCCACAGTTATTTGATCAATTCTCTCCCTGAGGGGACTTGTTTCACCCACACCATGTTTGGACCCTCTTTATCGGAGACATTTGTCAGAGTTTATCTGGTTTACAGATGTTCTGTCATCTTGAACACACAGTGATCTGTCTTTAAGATGGATGTGCGTTGGAGCAATGAATCGTTTTATTAGATAAACTCACACCCTTACACATACACATGGATTTGGTAGGACATTGTAAATCAGGCTGGAGATACAGGAGACTGTCCCTGTGTGCTCTTGAAAATATAGGTGCACCCAACTGCCATCTGTCATCTGAATGTTATGATTGGCATCTAAAGCATAAGTTGCTGGAGACATGGAGTGATGGTAGGCTTAGTTTGCATAATAGTGAGTTGTAATGGATACACTGACATTCCTCAGCTTTTCACAAATATTCACGTCAACATTGCTCGACAGGGTACGGTGCTTCTTTTTCACAGATTATGGGCAAAGTGTGAAGTAAAAATAGATGTTGAATGATACAGAACAA